TACTTACGCAATTTTAAGATGCGAACGAGCACGAACACATTGGTGGTAAGTTTGTGCATTTCAGATATGCTTTCTGCCTTAGCAGACACTCCATTTTGGATCTCGGTTCTCGCTAAAGAGTCTCTTTACTCAAACTTTGTTGTTTGTCGAATTATGCTGTCGTTTGAAGACTTGTTTTTGGTCGCAGCGCTCTTAAACATGTGTGGGATCGCATTGGATCGGTTCATAACGCTCGTTAAAGGACTGAGACGAAAAATGACGAGAAAACGAGCCCGCATAATCGTGTTGTGGTCGTGGATACAGGCCGTGGTTGCCGCGATACCCTGGTGCCTTGCAAGTAGCACATGCGAAAAGCGATGTTATTTGTTGTTTCCTCATATTTACGAACCTGAGATAACTCCTCGAATTATCAACATTATTTTCAAGCTTGCTCATTTGGTCTTGCCGATTTTTGTTATCTGCTATGTATTCATTCGTATTCTAAACTCCGTTAGAAGCAGCCGTAGAGTGAACTTAGAAAACAGCTATATTTCTCGCAACAGCAGCGCCGAAAAGTTCGCTGTGGACGCGTATAAACGCTCATCAAAAACAGCTATAATCCTATTTACCATGTTTTTGTTTTGTTCACTTCCCTATCTAGGAGTTATGTTTTACTCGATTTTAACGGGAGACCATTTAATGAATTTTAAAAGCGGTTTCGCCGTCTATTTTATTTTGTCACTTAAGCGATCGCTTTTCCCCGCGATTTACATATTCAGGAACAGAATGATTGTTAGCTATTTACAAGAAACGTTCCGGTGTGCAATATGTGGAGGAAGCTCAAAATTGAATTCACGAAATTCATTCGGTTACAACAGCAACAACAATAGCTCTTGTTTTACCATGTTTTGTAGAAGTTCGTGCCGTTCCCGAGTACATCCCACTGTTTACGATGGAGAACATCACCATTTCCCAAAACATCTCGATGTGTACTTTGTGGGCAACGTCAAAGAGACAAAATCCATTATGGAAGATCAGTTTGTTAACATTGTGGCAGTAGAAAGAAAAGAGACTGACTGCGAGGTGCCGAGCGAAAGCAACCATTAACCTTCTTAACAAACTGGTGAATTTAATCTCAGCTAAATAACATAAAATACTCCGTACATCAATAGCGCTCCCCAAAGTAAGGATTTAAAACAAATTTTACAGCAGGAAAATACTTGAGAGACACAAGACCAAGTTATTCTTCTACCGAAGTTAGCAAGTTAAGAAACCTGAGCAAGTCTCGATATACTGATGTTATTTTGCTGCTCTCGACTGACACCAGTGCAGTATTTAATTATGAGTCGCTTGGTGGGCATTGTGATTTGGCAAGTTGTTAACCTCAAAATCTGTTCGCTTTATAATTTTAGTGTTAGATGATATCCACGATATTTCAGTAGTCTAAGAATAATACTCGTTAAATCAATTCTCTTTCGTGCCTATTTATTTGACTTAACAAGGAAATGGAGTTGATGCTTAAAAGCAAAAGAAGTATCTACAGACCCGATATATACTCTATCTAGGACAGACACACTGAATTATCTGGTTTTCAGGGCTAGATTCTCATTGTCGAATAAAATAGAATTTTCGCTTTGTTTCACTTGAAAACATCTGGAAGTATATGTGTTGTTTCCTACTTAACAACAGAGATGGCTGCTGTCTTCTTCGACTAAATTAAACGTTGTTATTCTGTAGTTCACAGGCTATCAAAAGAAATATTTCATTTCGCACTACTGAAGTATTTTGAACTAAAAGTCTTTTGAATTAATGGTGTTGGAAATGAAGCATGAAGTCTCAGGGATCAGGTTTCCATAAGTACTGCACAATGGGTATTATAAATTTCTTGGAAAAGTGATATTCAATATCTGCTGAAGGAGATAAATGATTCATTTCTTTTAGCAAACAGAATAAAATAAATGTTTTTTCTTTCTCATGAATGATTAGAAATTAGAAACATTGCTGTAACCTAAACTCTAGCGGGTTCTTCAGTTACATGTCGCAGATTCATCTTTCTTGAATTATGAATTGTGCTAAAGTATTGCGAAATAAACATGAATACTATAATTTGGCTTAGCGTTTATCTTTCGCCGGGTTTATATTTTCAGTCCTTTCGATTGCTTGGATAGCAAAAGAAGTCAACTTTTAGAAATTAAGCGGAAATTCAACAGCGCACAATTCGACCTGTTTAATTTATGTAGAAAGAAAACCTGCAGCTGCTTTTACGATTGAGATGTGTATTTCCGGTTTCATGGTTTTGCTACCGTTCAGTTCTTTTCTCTTTTCTGTTGTCTTAGTCATCGCTTCTGTTGATCAAATCTATTTTTCGTCATCTTCGTTTTCAGTCGCTAGTCCATCCAAATGATATACGACACTACATATCTACTAACTGAAAGGATTTGACGATGGCAGCGAAATGTCAATGACACAGCCACCGCTGAAGTTTTACCTGCACGTGTGCCAACAATTTTGACAGTTGGATAAATAATCCCTCGGAAAATCAGAATATTTTTAATCTTTGGGAATAAATAATTGAAACATCGATGTCTTTATGCCATTTTTTTATTATCTTTTTTTTTTAATACGGCTGCGTTTCCACATCAGATTCGGAATTAATCTAACAAGGAACTCCTAATTTCTATTTTAAAAGTTGCCGCAGGAAAATGCTAAGTTTTAATTGAAAAACATTTTGGCGCTGGCGGAAACACAACATTTCCTCATCGATCAAACCTTAACTCATTAGACTTTCTCATTCGAACTCGCAAAAATGAGTCAGCATTGAGTTAATTTTTATTCAGAATATGTAAAGAGTGTAGATATTAACTACACCGCTTCTGTCACCAGCACTCGCCCTAGCTACACTCGCGTACTGTGTAGAATGTTAGTGAAAATGAAAAAAACCAGGAATTATTATACACTCTATTTTTATAAACATACAGTCTACACGAACAATATCGAGGCTGAAATTTGCGAAATTTCAAGAATATCTTAAGAATATCTTGAAAAGAATATTTTTTGTGTGTGTTGAAAATTTGTAAATACAATTCAACTATACATGTATGTTTTCAACTAAACCAAAAAAAATTCTGCCTTTCTCTAAACAGCAAAACTAGGCAAAAATCAACAAAAACAGCATTAGCCCTTTGTTCTATGCTAATGATATTTCTGCAAGAAGTAGTGTGTCTCTTATCAGGCTTTAATGCCTGCAGTCTGGCTCCATAATTACTTAAACGGCATAAACGTCAAACCGAAAATAATTTAAAAAGCTAATAATATTCACAAGAAAATGTTAAGCCCAAAGTCGGCAGAAAAATAAGAATAATCAGCCTGCCAGGGAAAAAAACAATATTTCATCTTGAGTCATTCGCAAACATTAAGACATCGAGAGCTCTGCAAGG